ACACACACACACACACACAAACACACACACACACACACACACACAACCACATATGGTGATGAGCATTCCCACATCAGTTTCTCTGATTTCATCCTATCCCTAAACTGGCTTCCCATGTGTTCAAATGTCCACTGAATATTCCATCCACTTCCCTTCAGATCCTAAAACAAAGAAGTAAGCAAATAGGTTTATGGAAAAGGAATCCTGAATAGCTACGAGGAAAGAATCTCAACTTTCACAGAAATCAGAAAAGTATCAGTTACATCACTGACAACATATTATTTCATAACCATTATAGTGGCAGAAACTTTGATTTTTTAAAGCCAACAAACTGGCATGTGGAGCCATGGTGAACATGTGTGGAAAGGAGTCCAAAGATGCTCTTTACTGTTAACCCTGGGGAGAAACCAGGGAGTACAGAGTAACCAGAAAAAACACACACACCACATATTACCGACTTGCTAGAGCAAAGCTCCCACAAGAAGAATATATTGATTGGCTACCAACCCCCTGTGCTCAAAATTTGCATTTGTACCTAAAGTGACAAGCAGGCTCATTACAGAATCAGTTGATATAGTAAAAGGCAGAAACAATCTGATTTTATATTAATAGCGGGATGGGTGAATTTTGATACATTTATACAATTAAATATAGATGACTTGGGTACATCTTGAGAATGTCATGAGAGTGGAGAAAGGCAGTCAAGAATGTGTACATTTGCTAATGCAGTGTTGCTGGCCTGGAAAAAAATGTGTTATGTTAAGGTAAATTTACCTTTGTGTATTGAGGAAGAAAAATAGGTCCAGATAGATAACAAATAACACCCTATCCATAAGTATGATATTGTGTCATCAAAAATAACATTCACCGTAGAAACCCCACCTTGCTTTAAAATTTGTTTTGAAAACCAGACGATTAGAAAGAAACTAACACACCAATGTGTTCCATGTTGAGATTTTCTGATTCAGAGTTCCGACTGGAGCCCCAGTCCTGCCATCCTCAGAGGGCTGCTTTGGACAAGTGAGTGAGCCTTCAGAGATTCAGTCTGTTCAATTATAAAAAAGAGATAGTCATATACCTGCCACTTAGCACTGTCATGAGAAATTAGTTAGATGATTTATTTATAAAATGTTTCACAAACTGCCTATCATTTACAAATGTTCAATCAACAAGTTACTATTTGACTATGAACCCAGCCCATCCGCCTCTAGAGCCTTGTCATGCTTGCTGAAGTAGAAAAAGACCAAAAAAAAAAAGAAAGTAGTAAATAAGGTGCATCTCTTTTATACTTTTTCCTTCCTGAAAAATATACCCATTGCTGCCAAGGCCATCAACAGAAGTTTCTGCAGTCTATTCTGGGTTGATTGGCACAGGCCCTATGAATGGTCAAGGGTGGTGAGCTGTCTTCCACCAACTGACACAGAGCGTCATGGCCATAAAGCTAAGCAACTTAACACAGAATCTCAAGTCATGGATTCTTATAACGTCTGAATATGAAAATTTAAAATATGAATGAAAACTATTTTTAATGCACTTATATTGTTGCACGATCTAAATTACACTTAAAAATAAAATAAGTGATCAAACTGAAAATTAAACATCAATTACCTGTCAATTTCAGCAGGATGATACATTTGTCAGTGGAAAGAATTGAAACCAAAGATTTCATTGAATTTACTGAAGTTGAGTCTGTTTCCCAAACTTATATTGAATATTTTTTTTCCTGCAGAGTTGAAGGTAAAGGATGAGATGGGGAAGAATTTTGCAAGAATAATTTAGCCTAAGAAGAAGCCTGCTCGCTGCCTGGCCTAGTTACGGGATTTCTGCTGAGCTGGCATTCCTTCTCCCGGGCTCGCCCTTGCGACACATGCTTTTGCATTTATTCCCCAGGTTTTTCTCATTTCGACTTTTGCATGGTTTCCTTCTATAATTCCTCGGGGACCACCTGGCCTCCTTTCCAGACGACAAGCTTGGGTTGCTACTGAAGAGGAGCCAGTAGCCACCTGCATGCAGAGACTCCCTGCCTCAGCCTCATAAAGTAGCTGCAGGGCCCACAGAGCAATAAAACCGCCAGGATTCCTACTGCCTTTCCATTTCACTCCCAGAGTCTGACGGACTGAAAATACTCTCACCTCGTGCCATGTTTCCTTTCTGATAAACCAGAGAACTGTAGGATGTCTAGAACTAATCTAAACAGTCTCAGACACAACGGAATTTCAGACCAAACACTTTTTGATGTGAGAGTGGAATTCATTTGGGTTGGATTCCTCATCTTTATGTGGATGTGGACTTCAAAAGGGATTTAAAGCAAAATGAAAGCTTACTGAAGCAGGTGTTTAGGCCCACGTATCCCTAGTGTGATATAACCCAGGAAGCTTTGCCTAAGGTCATCTCTAGGAGTGTGTTTTCTTAAGTTACACATTTGCACCAACAAGTTAGCTTTGGAGCAATTTAATTGTATGTTTTTATTTCAAGATTACAAATGAAGCATATTTATAGAATAAAAAGACTGAATCACCTATACCTTCAAGAGCATATTTACAGATATATATGTATATGTAAACACAGCTGATAATATTATTTCTGGTTATATAAATATAATGTTAACAATGACAATATGTAAAATAATAGAATTCTCTGATGATTTAGGTGAATCCTTTTTTGAATATCTATTGTGTGTTTTTTTATGTTCTGCGTTTTGTTGTAGGCATTGTGTATACAGCAGTGAAAAGACAGACAAAAACTCTGTTTTCACACACTTTACAAACAAGTAAAAATGATAAAATAGGTATGTGAGTATGCTTGTGTGTGTGTGTGTGCACAGAGATTTTATACTGTACACTCATCAGAACTAGGTAAAGGGGTCATGAACTGTCATGGGAGGGTGACCTGCAGGAAATGAGGAGCTGCCTTGTTTGTGTTTCCCATGGGAAGTGAACCTCCGAGGAGTGCTTGTGCCTGATGTCCTCTTTACCTCCCTGTGTGCCCAGGTGACTGTGCGTACAGTAGACAGGAAGGGAGACAGAAGAGATGGAAAGGCCTAGACCATGAGGGATTCAGAGCCATGAGAGTTGGCCATTTGATTCCGAAGGAGATGAAAGATGTTAAGGACATTTGAGTGAAGAGTGATAACTCAGCTCAGTACTCTGGCTTCTTTTTTGAGAAGAGACATCAAGGGGCAATGATAGAAGTAAGGAGCCCTGATTGATGCTCTTGAGGCACCGTTGTAATTTGGAGGGGGATGGTGGTTCTGGAGCATGAGAAGTGCTTGAATTCTATGTAATGATGTAACTGCCAGGACCTACTGACAAAGTAGAGAAAGAGGCCACAGACAATAGAACTGAGGAGTCACTGACATCCAACATGGCCACTAACGCCTTCAAGAAGGTGGATGGATGAATGTCATAGAGATGGAAGACATTCAGGAGAGCAGATCCAGGACACGCACTATTGTTTTTGGACATTGTAAAAATGGCTCTACCGATCTAGATTCCATGGGAGAGAGAGAGGGGGAAACAGGCTGGGGTATGAGCAGCACGCAGATGGCTCTCCATCCGGAGACTGCATGGAATACACAGGGTGAGGACAGATAGCAGAGAAGGCTTTCAAAAATTAAACAGCAGGGTAATACAACATTTTAAAAAAAAACATGGTGATGAGGAAGAACAAGAAAAAATGAGAGAGAAGAAATTTTTAAAATAGGGGAAAATAAAATAAAAGCTAGTGAGTGTGACATCTGAAAAGCTATCTTAAGAGATGTTTCAAGGAAGAGGGTTGTATCTATGTCACAAGAGGTCCTATGTAGGCACCTCCACACCCTCATGTACTCCTTCCTCTGGAATTTTGCTCTTCTGGAGATCTGGTTCACCTCAGTCATCTTTCCTAAGACACTGACCAACATCCTCCCAGGACCATCTCCCTCGCTGGCTGCTTCCTACAAATAGTCCTCTGTTTCTCCCTTGGCACCACAGAGTTCTTCCTGTTTGCAGCTATGTCCTTCGACAGGTACATCAACACCTGTAATTGTTTGCATTATGCCACCATCCTGAGCAAAAGGGTGTGTATCAAGCTAGCATTCTGCTTATGGAGGACAGGTTTCCTTCTCACACATGGTCCAAGTCACATCACATTTCAGCAGCCATTCTGTAGCTCCAATGTCATCAGCCATTTCTTCTGTGACAACTTTCCACTCCTGGAACTCACATGTGCAGATTCGATTCTGGCAGAGCTTCTGGGTTGTGTGGTGGCCACCTTCAGCCTCCCGGGCCCTCTGGCCATTACGACCACCCCCCACACCATCCCGCACACCCTCCACATCATCTCAGTGTCTCTCTTCTATGGCAGCTGCCTCTTCCTGTGTATCCAGCCAGGCAAGCATGGGCAGGGGGAGGACCAGAGCAAGGTCACCCTGGTGACCCTGACACTCAACCCTTTCATCTACACCCCAAGGAACAAACAGGTGAAGCAGATACTCAGGAGCCGGGGAGCAAAATTCCCTCACGAAGTTGAGTCAGACCTGAGAGAGGGAGAAATTGCCTCTTTGCCGGAACCTCTGCTAATGAAGCTCCTGTCCTGATCTCCATGGATTCTCCTTTCATAGACAAAACTTTTTCCATGTGTTCAGATGAATGTATTTCCTGTATGTGTCATTATGGGTTCATTCAATCTTGTTCAAAAAACAAAAAAAAAAAGGAAAGAAAAAAATCAATATGCCACTTCCATGTGAAATAGCTAAAAGTATCTAGATATTCCTAGCATCATTTTTCAGATTACCCTCTGAGAACAGGACTGAAATAAAAACACTACTTTCCTACCTTAATTGTAGCAGAGTTTCTAGCCAGTACATTAGGGCTTGGAAAAAAAAAGTTAAAGGATTAAGTAAGAAAGGAAGAAATGCTGTTATTATCGCCAGTAACATGCTCTTAGAATTAATAAGTTCCTGGATACAAGTTCAACCTGCAAGAATTTTTATGTTTGTTTTATGTTTTTATATTTATATACCAGCAATAAATAGTTAATTTTTTTTAATGTCTTATAGGCTGAGGTTCCAGAAATGGCCATGATCATAGCACTCTGCAGTTGTAGAATCTCCTATAAGTAGTTTGAGTAGATGGGGGCATGCACTTGTTTAGCTTCCACGTGTAGAAGAATGGAAGGGGAGGAAACCCATGCAGCCAGCTCATCCCAGCTATTTTGTTATAAACATGTGGAGTGATGGGGAGTACCTGGAGGAAAGGCAAGGGCCAGGAGGGAAACTTGCTGTGAGTTAAGTGAAAGCATGACTGTGAGCCAGTAAGAAAGGGCAGCTAGAGAGAGAGAGGACAGAAAAGTGCTGACTCAGGAGAGTGGGGAGGAACAGCTGAGGCTTGGTTGGGTGGGGTGATGGGTGAAGTGGGAGCTGGGTACCTAGTGAGTCAGTGAAGGGCAGCACCCTGGGTCAAAGCATTTGCTATCGTACTCATGAAAGCTGTATTCTGAGACAAGCTCATCTGACAACTGAAATCCCTCCCCAGCCTTCTGTCTAGGCATCCCTTTGCCTTTACGCTGTCCCCTCGTCCCCCCGTGTAATAGATAACCTGAACTGAACTGCAGTAAGACAGACCACCCCACGCACAGTGGCTCAAGCACAATGACTGTATGTCTCTCTCACATTGCAGTAAAAATGGGTGCTGCTGGTCACTGGTGCTTTGCATTTCCAGAGACTCAAGGCTGTAGGCTCATTCCAGTTGCCCTTTGCTACTTGAAGTCCTTGTCATGGTGCAGGAGGGAGGAGAGGGCCACCTGCTCAGCGTGGATGAGCAGTGACCACACAAAACATCTACTCACCCTGCATTGGTGAGAACTAGGAATTGAGAAGGAGTCACCTCCCAAGCAATGTGCGAGAGAAGGCCATGTTGCAGTGGGTGCTCACGCGGGGTCACCTGGCACACCATCAGCAGGGACATTTGTGTGTTTCCTCTCTGCCAGTTAGAAGGTGAGCTCTAAGGAGTTTTATTTACGGTCATATTTTTAAAACCTTGACAAAAGCCAAGACACACTAGATACTCAGTGAGCCCTAAAGGAACAAACTCGAGGCACACACATTTATTTAACTTAAAAATAGTTTCCCCCTGAGGCAGAAGATGAAGCTATCTCAGCGTTCAGGGTAACACATCCATTTGCCCAGAGTACCTGGTTTTGCTTTGTAAGCCTCAAATTCAGAATGTGTTTTCCACCATTTCCCATAACACAAGACAAAAATAGACTTGAAATACTTTTGACTCTCCTAATAGATTAATATGATGTAACAAAACTTCACTTAATATAGTTCAACATGCTCCAAGTACTTTTTTTTGTCTTTTGAGATTTCTGGCAAGGTAGATGATACGAAGTTTATATACACCATTATGACATGTAAATATGATCATAGTGTAAATTTAAGACTTGTGATTCTGAAGAAAATAACCAATTTTTTATTATGTTATTTTTTTCATCTTGGTTTAGCTAATTTTACTATTCGCTAGTACTTCTATGTTAAAAAAGATAAAATATGAATTATTAGAATTCATAGTCAAGTATTAAAAGTTAGGAGTCAAATATGTCACACGAAAATCCGTTATCAATTTGGATGCTTTCATAGAGATTTAGGCAGGTAGACCTTACCCAAGTTACTTTATTTAACATTGCAATTAAAAGTTTTGGAGATTCATATTGATTTGCCTAGAAATAATTTTGCGTATAAGAAATGCTATTTTACTAAATTATGAGGCTTCTAGATACATCAATTATTTATTCAGATTTTTTGAAGTTTGGACCATAAGTGAGTGAGAACTAATTATAATAATCTGCTCTGGGATCATAACGTTGAGTGACACCCAGAAACCCCAGCTGGTACACAACAGTGGCAATATACATAAGGTCATGGGATTTGCAAAGTGTATACCAGCTGTGCTCCGGAGCCCACTCTGGCTGCCTATTCAGTTCCACATAAAAGTCATAGTGCTGACATTTTGATTTATAATGGTGTCAAAGTCCTGAGCGAGGCTCTAGCAAGCACCCATGCAAATGAATGTTTTGCAGTGTTATTTTTTGAACTTCAGTTACTTTCTAACAAGTTTGTGGATAATGGTTCTGGTCTACCCTTAGTGCACCACTGTTCTCTCTGATGCCCAACTGCGTTTGCAGTTAAATTCCAGAGTTTCCTCAACTCAAATTTTGTCAGTGATACAACTGGGCTTCTAGGTTGGCTCAGAGCAGAACTGAAGCTCTGTGTGTCTAATTAAGCAAGTTAATCTTATGAATATTGAAATGGGTTCTGATGGGCAGGAGGTGGGAAGGGCTCCTCTCATAATGAACCACGGGAAGCCATCAAGCATAATGTACTCAAGAAACTGCCCCAGGACTCTGAATCAGAAACTATGGAAGTTCTTAAAAAATGAAGACTCAGAGAAGTGCCAAGGCTAACCCACTTTCAGTTTTCCAAGCAGTTAACAAAGTATCCTAAACTATTTGTGCTTCCTTTATATTCATAGTTTTCATTACAACCTGTCTGGGTTTTTTAAAGATTTATATTTTAGTTATAGGTGGACACAATGTCTTTATTTTACCCTGTGTAGTGCCAAAGATCTAACCCAGTGCCTCACAGATGCTAGGAGACCACTTCACCTCTGAGCTACAACCACAGCCCCTGTTTGGTTTATAAATACATTAATTTAGACCAAATCAGGAAACAGGAAGAGAGGACAAAAATATACACACTTGTTTTGGTAAAATATCTATGGTCATTGTTCCTGTTTAATCTTCCTTAATATTAATCGATCTTAATTGAGTGCTTATAAAGCAACAGAAGATGTACAAATTATTAAGCCTATAATTTCCATTTTAATTCTGACCATAAATACTCATAAGGTATGTTGTTATTATTATGAATTATTTACTCTGGAAAGAACTGAAGTTTAGAAAGTTCATATCATTTAGCAATAAATTGTTTTTCAGTCAAAATAAGCGGGGATGAAGAAATAAATCCAGTCCTCCTAGTGCCATGCGATGTCATCTACTTGAGATGACTTACATTTTTCTCTTCATTGATCACACTGGAATCCACTTTCACTGGAATGCAACCTCTGTCTCATGATTGTCTCTGGTTGCCAACTTAAATAACTAAAATAAATACACTGATAACTTTTGTGCCAGTGGGTGGCTAACCTTTATCAACTCATCAAAAGTTTTCTCTCTCAGTTCTCATCAACTTGGAGACTAGCTATGTTCTTTCTCCCTTTGCTCACTAACGACCATATTCCCCGAACTCCTAGAGGCTACCTAGGACCATATGACTCTTCCTTACCAACCCAACAATGATGCATTAGTAAGGAATCAGGCCTGATTCCCAGAGTTACTCCCTAGGCATTTGCTACACTCTCTTTCTCACCTTTGTCCCCAAAGCACATAATCCAGTGAAGGGTACCAAGATCCCGAGAGGTCATGGAACAGACCTATATTCAGGGTGCTATGTCTTGACCAGGAATACTACCACCAGAATTTTCTTGAGTTCATATCATCCTTTTTACTTAATTTAAGTTAAAAATTTAACTGACATATAACAATTATGAAAATTGTACATGTTCATGGAGTACCATGGGATGTTGGTATATGGTATATTACCCTTTTACTGTTTTGTGCCCCTCAGATTTATCAGTGACAGCAGGTGGTGTTATATACTCTATTGTGTAATTTAAGCTTTTTAATCATTTTCTGTTACAGTATGCTTTCACATACATTATCATATTTTAACATAATAGTCAAATAACATGGGTATTATTAGTCATTGCTATGTGTTGACTTGTGTCACTACAAAATGTAATGTTGAAGTCCCACCCCCTAATACCTTTAAAATGTGACTGTATTTGGTGATATAGTATTTACAAGGGTAATTAAGTTAAAATGAGGTCACTGGAGGACTTTAATGCAATATGATTTGTGTACTTATAAAAAGAGGAAATTTGGATACAGCCACTCAGACACAGGAGACCATGGAAAGAAAGAAAAGATGGCCATCATGGAGCCATGCAGAGGGGGTCTCAGGGGAAACCAACCCCACCAACATATTAAACTCAGACTTCTGGCTTCCAGAATCACGAGGAAATAAAATGTCCTATTGTTTAAACCACCTAGTCCATGGCAAAGTAAAATAGTTGCTTGATGATAAATAAATGAAGTTAGAGAAAAAAAAAAGGAACTTGGTAGATGATTCCATAGTAAGTAGCAGCCTTAGGAGTCCAACTCAGTTCCTGAGATGTCACACGCAAACCTTTCTTTTTTTCTCTGACATTTACTGTGAAGATTGGAGCTTGATAATTTCACCTGTTTCCTGTAATACTTATTATTTGAACCATCAATTTGCAATGTTTGTAATTCCATAGCTATTTATTTGCATATCATTTCCTCACTATATTTTAAGCTCACAGTAGGCAAAGGCTGCATCTATTTCTAAATATTTACATCTCTCACAGGACCTGGAACAATGACTTAAAGTTGCAAAGGTTTAGACAAAGATGGGAATTTAAAATATAACACTGTGGAGTATGCAAACTGACATGG